TTTTGCAGCCTATTATTGAAAAACAACTACAAGAGGTTTTTTTTTGGGGGGGGGGGCGGTGTTTTTCTTTCCTTCGTTTTCTTTCATCCTTGAGAGATGAAAATAACGTATAGTTTGATGGGGTACCAGAAGCAGCCCATCCTCAAAATAAAATCAAATTCATTTAAAAGGGTCATTTGGAAGCAGAAGAATAATTAATAAATATCATTATGAAAGTCCTCATTTTCATTAAAAAAAGGCTGCGTCCCTTAATAGCTCTAACTGATCTAGACAGTTTGGAAGACATTTTAAAGGATGAAATCCTCTCTCCACTGAAATCAACTGTAAAACTTCCACTGACTTCAACAGGGCCAAGATTTCCTCCAAAGGAATCATACCTTTGAGTGGCACATATAAAAATATCTGAATATTCTGGACCAAGACTCGGCTGATGTCAGCATAGCATAGCTTTTATTTGCACTAGGAATAGGATACATTGACAAGGCTACTACTACTTTTGTTGTATAGAACCTTCTAAATTATAAAACAACTAAAATACAAATAAAAAAAGCAGTTCTCTAAAAGAAACATTTGTTTCAGGAAACTCTGGCTTCTTTAGGGGCATAACATGAAAAGTGTTTGGCACTGAAGAAAAAAAGATCAGTGTATAATTAAAGCTTAAAACTTGGGTCACGGCTGATTCCACCAGAGCTTGTTTTGTTTTTACTTAATCCTTCAGAAAATAATCCAACACAACAATTTTAAGGAATTCTTATTCTGCAGTTAGCAACTCACTTCACTAAAGCACAACATTATGAAGGAATCTTGCTTAAACTGTGCTGAAGATCAGTTCTGCAACCTGACATGAAAAAATTCACAAACCATTTCAAGTCAGAACGCCCCCAACATCAGTTTCATAAAACAATGTTGTTACATTACAAATTCAGAACAGACCCAACGTAAAAATAAATGGGTAGTTAAATGCCAATATATAAAAGAGCAAATATGTCACAACATGAAATACTGATGATTATTACTGGGAAAAAAATCCTTATGACTAGTGGAAAGACAACTGTTTTCTTTTAAAAAGGCAAATCCAAAGTACAAGATTACCAACTTTATGATTAAATTGGTTGTTTCTGAGGGGGGTTTTTTTGCACATTTTGGACTAAATTACATGTAGAATTTACAATATAATTAATGATCCAAAGGCATGTTTTCACAGTCTTATCATCAGAGTTCAGTGCGATATGGTATCAATATATTGTGTGATCTATAAAAATAAATACTTGAGTGCAGAAGATACGAGGGTCAAGTACAATATTGACTATTTGACCATGTTTTCAGTAAGGATGTTATCTAAAATTTAAGGAGCTGTGTATAATTCCTTCATTGTTTGGTTTCTCTTTTGGTTATTACTAATCTTTCTAAGAGCAGACGCCAAATTTAAATTAAGTCGGCATGTCTACATGAGTCAAATTATAGTTGGAAAATGGCATCAAAAGTCTCAAGTCAAAATTGTACCACTCCTACATGTATAATCATGCAAAAATGTATAATAAATGTATATACATGCAGAGTGATATTCTCTTCACCTACCCATAGAAATAACTTGTGTGAAAGTCTTCATCAGTAGGAAATACAAGCATAAACTTGTTATCTGTAGCTCCACTCTTGTATCTTCCACACTTCCAAACAGCACACCTTATAACTTAGCTTAAATTTAGTATACATCAAACAGACAAATATCTTCAATGTAATTTACATTACTGTACAGTAATTTTGTCAATTTGACAGCCACCATTAAAGGATCTTTAAAATCCACATAATCACAAGCAGACTATTTACAAACCATCCACAAAAAGGAGAGAGTTTTGCTTTTCTCAGCCTTGCCTTTCAAAATCAGATTTGGAAACAAAATGTGCCGTGAATATCAGGGCTATCTAAACCTGTCATCAGTGAATGACTGATTATGCCAACTTAATGACTACAAGACTGGAGCAAAACCCTGAGACTGTCAGCATGCGTAAAGCTAGAATATACACCCTATTGAAAAGCTGTGATGCCCCTTTAAAAAAACCAAAAACAATCAACCCAAGATTTTCTCATTAAAAACAACTCTAGAAGGACTAGAGCACTTAGAAGATTTGTACAGCGATACATAGCATTTCCCGTCTCGGTAGCCGTTTTAAATCCAGCTCATATTGGTACAGACTGAAAGTTGTTGCAAATCTGATAGCTGTCAGTGGCCTATGTTAAAAGAGCTGGTGTTTTCAGTCCAATTTCCTAGGAGACAGACATACACATGACCAAAGCCACCATTACAAATGGAATCCTTGATGGCAACCTTGATGAACTCCGTGCCCTCACACAAGGCAAGGAACAGGGCAGCATGGGGAAGCTAACAATGCTACTGTCAGTACTTCTTTCGAACGGATAAAAAGAATTCTCTTGGCATCTGCCATCACAATCTGGATAAAGAAAAAGTTATGCGCTAGATCCTGCAGTGCAGCTGATAAGCACAAAGGATGACATTAGTGCACCCTCTGCAAAGGGACAAAAGACCTATGCACTATTTAAATCCCCCTCACACTTTATTTTGAGGGCTGAGGCCCAGGTCCTCAAAGGTATTTAAGCTCCTAACTCCCACTGATTTCAATGACCAAAGAAGAACGCTGTGTAACTTGAAACCTTCTCTTTCACCAACAGAAATTGGTCCAATAAAAGGTATTACCTCACCCACTTTGTCTCTCTTATATCTTGGGACCAACAAGGATTCACATGCTGGCTCCATACCATTGGTGGATTCCCCCCGCCTCCTCCTTACAAGCCAGTTATGCCAGCTTTAGGGCCAGTTTACACTGGTGGTGCAATGCAAAACTAACACATAGCACCAGAAAGATCAGGATCACTGACTCTAGGTAGGGAATAAGAATGAACTTTACTGAAGAAAAATTGTTTTCATTACAAATATCCTTTTGAAAAGGATGAAAAAAAATTCAACACTTACTTTTTCCAGTTTTTTCACAAGAATTAGGCTACTCTTTTGAAGGAGTGGATTGAGTAAAAGGAATTCAAAAGACAGTTATTAAAGCAGACTCTGGCAAAATCAAAAATGATATTCCACATGAGAGAAAACAGGAAGTTTTTTAGTCAGCTGACAAAAGCTAAACAATTTTTTTCTCTTTTAAAAAGTCAGACCTATTGAGACTTGATTTAGGAGAAATGCTTAAAAAGCTTCATTGGTGGAAAGCTTAAATCCATGATTAATACAACAAACACATGGGAAAAGACAAGTCTGAAAGTTAACATACATCAGCAGCAAAATACAGCTATTGACATTTAACTTTAATACTGCAAAAAATGAAAAGGAGTACTTGTGGCACCTTACAGACTAACAAATTTATTTGAGCTCAAATAAATTTGTTAGTCTCTAAGGTGCCACATGTACTCCTTTTCTTTTTACGAATACAGACTAACACAGCTGCTACTCTGAAAACTGCAAAAAACAGACAATTTTTTCCTTTGAAAGGCAGAGGCCATCTTGGCATAAAAATATCAAGGGTCTGATTCCGTTCTCACCTACACTGATGTAAATCAGAATGGTCTCCACCAGTGTCAATGGAATTTCAACCAGTGTAAAATCAGACTCAGGCCTCAATTGTCAATTTTTTATATTTTTAAGTTTGCAATATAGTTAGTTCACTATCTCACTCATGTTTACTAACCACTTACGTGTTTACTAATCACAGTGCCTCTCTCCCTGCTGGATCCCAAAACACTTTGGGCCAGATTTAGCCAGGTGTATGATGATTGTTGTATATAAAATTCAGCCTCTTTGTGATGAAACCCAACAGCTGTTTATTGATACACTAGAATACTGCAAAAAGAAAAGGAGGACTTGTGGCACCTTAGAGACTAACAAATTTATTTGAGCATAAGCTTTCGTGAGCTACAGCTCACTTCATCGGATGCATTCAGTGGAGTTTAGGACAAGAAGCAAACAACTCTAACTAACTAACGCGATACGGAAAATTTAGCCACTACATTTTCATATATAAAACAGGTATTACAAACAACCTCTCAAAGTGCTTTTCATCAGAAGATCTCAAATCGCTTTACAAAGGATGTAAGCATCATGATCTCCATCTTATAGATTGGAGAACTGAGGCACACAGCCGTGACTTGCCCAAAGTCAACCAGCAGCCAAGCTGGAAATAGGAAGTTTCCCGAGTTCTAGCCCAGCGCTCCAATCAGGATGCTGGGACAGTTCCGAACAGTAAATTACTAATGGTTAAAAAAATTAGCTTCAGAGTATTTTCTTGAAACAAAAATTAAAAAGGGTGACAAAGAACTGGGAGAGGCACTCTGTTAATGGCAAACCAATAAAGATAAGGCTTCCTTTATTCTTGCAATACAACAATACTTTTGGATCTTATTTATGGGTATTGATAATGCTTTGTAGTATTTGAACTGCATTACCCCACAACAGAGAAGTTTAATTTTTTGTATCTATCATGTGAGGAGAATATTAAAAAATTTAAAAAAACCCCACAAGAATAAAAGGTCAGATTCTGGCCTCATTTATATCTGGTATAAATCCAAGGTAGCTTAGTTTACATCAGTGGAGTTACACCAAATTTAAAAAGTAGCATTTCATAGATTTATAGTTTTTAAGACCAAAAGGTCATTAGAATCATCCTATATAACATAGGCCAAAGAACACATAACATAGGTTATGCTTAAGAATATGGCCCTTCATGACTTGCAAAATTTATTTTAGGCAATATATACTACTAATGCCTCTGACTCCATAGAAGGATTTTTTTTTTTAGAAGGAGTTTGGACTGGATACTTTTTTTGATTTAAAAAACACAATACAAGCTTGATATTATTCAAGATATGAGTAAGAGCAACAGTTTCATAACACATGCATGGTTCAAGTGGCATTGAACCAGACTAGCTGAGCTCTAAAATGATTCCCAAATGAGAAGAAAAAAAATCTTGCCCATTGTCTAGAATTTATTAACAAGAAACATTTTATTACTATTTATATTTATTCACTCTAGGTTACAGTAGTTACATTTCAAAATTTACAGTGTTAGGCAAAAGATACACACTGTGTATACAATAAAAACAGTGAAACTACATTCTCCCTAAAATCATAAAGTGAACAAAAATTACTATTGAGATTAGTGTTTTTCATATTTTTCCTTCATTCAACAAGATACTTAATTTAATTTACACCATGGCAATAAAATCAGAAGAAAAGTAGATGAGTATCTGTTCCGAGCTAAGATTCAAGCTCATTTTAAGATACTATGCACAGATGTTAAAGCTTTGTAGATCAACATTCATACTTTCAGGCTATTTGATGGCTAGATGGAAAATAGCTTTGTTTTTTGGATAATACACAAGCGATAAAGTCACTGAGTTGTGCTCTGAATAAAGGCACATGGAACATGGCTATGTCCTGAAGATTCTAGGAAGTGGTGCATATTGTTTTACAGTGCATGTTTATCTTCTGATGGTATGTTCTGTTTCTACTGTTATTGAATTGTGAGCTAAACATTACAAAAACTGAATATCCAGGCACTCTAGTTGGCCAGTCTGTAAACTTCCACCTGACCTTTTGAGTCCCTTTCAGCCAACGAAACTATTTTCCATGTGCCCTCATTTTCCCAAGCTAATACTACATGGGATTAATAAAATTTGTAAAAAAAAAACAAAAAAAAAAAACACCTAACACCCACACACACTGAAGTGGGTTTGTGACTTCACTTTTTGCTAGGTACTGTCCACCGTTATCAATCAGCCTGAATATTTATCTTATACAGTACATATCACACAGCACTCTCATTCTAATGATTTCTTGTAACTGTAGTGTCATGTTGCAGCCCTGTGTTATGCTGAATCTAATCAAGCATCCACTTACAGGGCCTGACCTGCAGACCTTATTCATGCAAATGCCCCATTAAGGACAATGGGAGTTATCCTTGAGTAAGAACTACAGGATTAGCTCCATCATAATTAAAAATAAGGTTTGAATACTGGTTCCATGGAAATCGACTTTTTTCCACTGACTTCCATGAAACCAGGATTACACTCTGTGTTAAAATGGCCTATAGAGACATACAGTATGTGATACAGGAAAAGACAATATATATCTTCAACAACAAAATCATTTAAATACATTTAAGGTTGTAACAACTGCCACAAATAATCCCAGAAAATGTTAGATTCAGATTGATAATCCATCCTTAGCAGCTCTGAAAAATAACCAAAATATTCCTTTCATAGACATTAAATAATAAGACAAAAAAATGATATTTCTGACAATCATTTTTTTACCTACCATTATTACAAGTCACATTGAGGATCAGTGTAAGTAAAAGGTATTGAGCAAAATATTTTTCCTCTATTTTCTCAGGGCTTGTCTACACTTGAAATGCTACAGCATAGCGCTTCAGTATAGACAATACCTACACCAATGGGAGGGGTTCTCCTGTTACTTTAACTAATCCACTAATCTACAAGAGGTGGTAGCTAGGCTGATGGAAGAATTCTTCCATCAACCTAGCGCAGTCTACAAAGAGACTTAGGTCGGCTTAACTCTCAGGGATATGGATTTTTCACATCCCTGAGTGATGCATCTAGATCAACCTAATTTTCTAGTGTACACCAGACATCGATTTCTTTACTTTGTGAATCTGACAGCACTTTGTGTACTCAGTTTCATGCTTTCACCTGTATAGTCCCAATAGCCAGTCAGTTTTCTGTTTGTGTAGTCACAAGGCAACACATGAGAGAATTTTTTTATTAAAATAAATAGAAATATGTTATAGAAAAACACAAAACTCACAGAAGGACTCTGGCCAGGTGCAATATCTGAAACTATCAGCGTCTCTTTTTAAATGACTAGTTTTCAAGTTGATGACATCTCTCTAATAAAATAGCTGTTAGTTAAAATACTACAAGAACTCTTCCGAAGGCATTCAGCTCATGTAAATGTATGTTTAGGAATGTTTACTGGTACTTTATGAACAAAGAGGCAGATTCAGGCCTTGGATGGATGCATGGACTTCTACTAACTTCAATTAGAGCCACGCAAAAGTATCAGAATTCAATGCATCACATGAAATCACAAGAGATATCTCAGTAGTATCATTGGGCATGTCAACCATTTCTTAAATGTGCCTATGATCAGTATATCAAGATGCCTCCTGGGACTCTACATGGGGGTAAGAGTCTGTTCACACAGATCAGATCTGCAGGACCGGATCGCTACCCCTTCCTGCTTCTCCACGTGGGCACCAATGATACTGCCAAGAATGACCTTGAGCGGATCACTGCGGACTACGTGGCTCTGGGAAGAAGGATAAAGGAGTTGGAGGCGCAAGTGGTGTTCTCGTCCATCCTCCCCGTGGAAGGAAAAGGCCTGGGTAGGGACCGTCGAATAGTGGAAGTCAACGAATGGCTACGCAGGTGGTGTCGGAGAGAAGGCTTTGGATTCTTTGACCATGGGACAGTGTTCCATGAAGGAGGAGTGCTGGGCAGAGACGGGCTCCACCTTACGAAGAGAAGGAAGAGCATCTTTGCGAGCAGGCTGGCTAACCTAGTGAGGAGGGCTTTAAACTAGGTTCACCGGGGGAAGGAGACCAAAGCCCTGAGGTAAGTGGGAAAGCGGGATACCGGGAGGAAGCACAGGCAGGAATGTCTGTGAGGGGAGGGCTCCTGCCTCATACTAAGAATGAGGGGTGATCAGCAGGTTATCTCAAGTGCTTATATACGAATGCACAAAGCCTTGGAAACAAGCAGGGAGAACTGGAGGTCCTGGTGATGTCAAGGAATTATGACGTGATTGGAATAACAGAGACTTGGTGGGATAACTCACATGACTGGAGTACTGTCATGGATGGTTATAAACTGTTCAGGAAGGACAGGCAGGGCAGAAAAGGTGGGGGAGTAGCACTGTATGTAAGGGAGCAGTATGACTGCTCAGAGCTCCGGTACGAAACTGCAGAAAAACCTGAGTGTCTCTGGATTAAGTTTAGAAGTGTGAGCAACAAGAGTGATGTAGTGGTGGGAGTCTGCTATGGACCACCGGACCAGGGGGATGAGGTGGATGAGGCTTTCTTTCGGCAGCTCGCGGAAGCTACTAGATCGCATGCCCTGGTTCTCATGGGTGACTTTAATTTCCTGATATCTGCTGGGAGAGCAATACAGCGGTGCATAGACAATCCAGGAAGTTTTTGGAAGGCATAGGGGACAATTTCCTGGCGCAAGTGCTAGAGGAGCCAACTAGGGGGGGAGCTTTTCTTGACCTGCTGCTCACAAACCGGGAAGAATTAGTGGGGGAAGCAAAAGTGGATGGGAATCTGGGAGGCAGTGACCATGAGTTGGTTGAGTTCAGGATCCTGACACAGGGAAGAAAGGTAAGCAGCAGGATACGGACCCTGGACTTCAGGAAAGCAGACTTCGACTCCCTCAGGGAACGGATGGGTAGGATCCCCTGGGGGACTAACATGAAGGGGAAAAGAGTCCAGGAGAGCTGGCTGTATTTCAAAGAATCCCTGTTGAGGTTACAGGGACAAACCATCCCGATGTGTCGAAAGAATAGTAAATATGGCAGGCGACCAGCTTGGCTTAACGGTGAAATCCTAGCGGATCTTAAGCATAAAAAAGAAGCTTACAAGAAGTGGAAGGTTGGACATATGACCAGGGAAGAGTATAAAAATATTGCTCGGGCATGTAGGAATGAAATTAGGAGGGCCAAATCGCACCTGGAGCTGCAGCTAGCGAGAGATGTTAAGAGTAACAAGAAGGGTTTCTTCAGGTATGTTGGCAACAAGAAGGCGGCCAAGGAAAGTGTGGGCCCCTTAATGAATGAGGGAGGCAACCTAGTGACAGAGGATGTGGAAAAAGCTAATGTACTCAATGCTTTTTTTGCCTCTGTCTTCACGAACAAGGTCAGCTCCCAGACTGCTGCGCTGGGCATCACAACATGGGGAATAGATGGCCAGCCCTCTGTGGAGAAAGAGGTGGTTAGGGACTATTTAGAAAAACTGGACGTGCACAAGTCCATGGGGCCGGACGAGTTGCATCCGAGAGTGCTAAAGGAACTGGCAGCTGTGATTGCAGAGCCATTGGCCATTATCTTTGAAAACTCGTGGCGAAAGGGGGAAGTCCCGGATGACTGGAAAAAGGCTAATGTAGTGCCAATCTTTAAAAAAGGGAAGAAGGAGGATCCTGGGAACTACAGGCCAGTCAGCCTCACTTCAGTCCCCGGAAAAATCATGGAGCAGGTCCTCAAAGAATCAATCCTGAAGCACTTACATGAGAGGAAAGTGATCAGGAACAGTCAGCATGGATTCACCAAGGGAAGGTCATGCCTGACTAATCTAATCAGGCTTGACAAAGCCTTGGCTGGGATGATTTAATTGGGTATGGGTCCTGCTTTTGAGCAGGGGGTTGGACTAGATGACCTCCTGAGGTCCCTTCCAACCCTGATATTCTATGATTCTATGATTCTAAAGGATGCATGTTAAAAATGCACAGCAATTTAATTAGTTTTGTGTTTAAATTTAGTTTTTGTAAATTTGCAGCAACCAAGGCCACATGTCAGATTTTAGTGTCTCAGCCAAATTAATCCTGTGACTTCTGAAATCAAATGATATTTTGGAGAGATAAGAATAGGAACTAATAGCACTAAAGTTATCAAGTGTATTAAAATTAACTTTTTAACCAGATGTTTAAAAAATTGCCCTCAGTTGAAGCTGATGTATGACAAATTTCAGCCCAGAGTAAAATGTTTAGAGCTAAATTATGGAGATTGAACATTAGGCTAACTTGCTTTAAAAATACTTTTCCTTCAGTCCTAGAGACAACTATTATGTTTTATAACTCTGGGTTATGTTAGAGTTTACTACACTTCGTTTTGCTGTGTACTATTTTTAAAAAAATCTAAAATATTTTAAAGTTATAAACCTTTCAAAATAGGGCTCTAATGTGAACAATAATGTATAATTTATAAAACACTAAACCAGTGTCAAACTATCATTTGTATGCTAAGTAAAACAAACTCTTTATTTAAATAAAAGACTTGTGTAACAAACAAGTAAGACAGGAAATGCACAATTACAACCAACACATCCTTCTTAACTTACCCCATTTCTGGGGGAGAGAAGTGGCTCCAAGCCTCCATAAGGACCTACAGGGAAACTTGAGCCTGCAATCAACTGAACTCCAAATCCCCACATATTTCAAAGGAGTTCTACACATAGACCAGTTCCGGCATCTGAATTTTGAATTTCCTGATTTATCAGCTTGACACACATCCTCAGTGGCACTTAAATGAAGAGAGTGTACAAAGATTTAAGTTTCATTTGCACTTTGTTACAAAAACCATAAATGAAGTAAATGTATTTCAAGTGCACAGATGCACCAATTCCTAGTTCCTGAATTTCCAGTTAGGCGTGTACTTTCATTATTCACATGCATAAATGTCTGCAGTATTTTAGGTGTCTTTTAAATTAAAAATTTTGCATAAACGAGCATATAAAATTTAATGGCCAATTCCTCATCTGGTTTTGAATAGGCACGGACTTCAGTGGAGCTATACCAGTTTACACAAGTTGACAATCTGTCCTACCATATTTATTCTTTCACAGGAGTCTGAAAGACTGCAAGTAATATTTTCTTAAGAAACTAGAGTGTTTTTTTACTCCATTCTGAAGCAAAAACCACAGGCCAATCAAAGGTAATCTAGACTCCAATAGGCTGTTCCCCCAACATACCGTATATACTCGTTCATAAGCCGAATATTTTTGGTAAAAAAAAAAGACATCAAAGAGCGGGGATCGACTTATAAATGGGTCTACACCAAAATATGATGATTTTAAACTCTATGGAATCATTTAATTGAATATCTAATACATTTTCATTTTGTTTACCTGGAGCGGCTGCAGACATGGAGCCCCTCAGCACCCTGTGAACTGCGGCCACAGGGAGCTGAGGGGCTCCATGCCGGCAGACGCTCCAGGTAAACAAAACATCCCGACCTGCCAGCGGCTTGCCCTGACAGGCCGGGAGCCAAAGTTTGCCAACCCCTGAAATATAGGGTCAGTTTATGAAAGGGTCATTCAGTTTTTGCTATTTTTACCTATCCATCTTGGGGGGGTCGGCTTATAAATGAAAGGGCTAATGAACGAGTATATACAGTATGTAGAATTCCCATTGGACTCTCCCACAAATGTATTCATTAAACACAACAGTTAATTAAATTTCATTTTTAAAGACAAGGCTCGTACTCTTAAAATAAAAAAGGCCAGACTATTTTACTAGCAGGACGTCAAGGTGGGGGCCAGACCTTATATACTAAAATTTCAGCTCAGAGCAAATCTTAATTCCCTGGAAATATTAATTTCAAGCCAAAACCTTTGAAAATAGGAGCTTATAGCTGAAACTGTGACAACCTTAACTGTAGCTGTATGAATATACCACCATAAAATACAAAAACTTTCAGTTTTTCAGAAATGCAACCGAAGTCCAGAACTCCATTCAGTTAAAAAGATGTCAAGTGCTGGCATAAACAATTCAAATACATAATATAAAGCAGCAAGATAGATACTTTTGTTTAAGTGTACAACCAAAATATTGCATATTTTCCAGGAGCATAAAAACAGACCATTCGTTGTCTCAAATATCATATTTATACCAAACCAATGCAAGTGGAGATTTCCCCCCCCAGGAGGAATTCAATTCTTGAAACCAGAACACAAGCTAATGGGTCAGATCCTCAGCTTGTATAAAATGACATTGGATTTGACTTCAAAGAAGTGATACTGACTTGTGCCAGTAGAAGATCTGACTCCATATGTTTTGGAGGCAGACAGAGCAGCTGACCAAACTAAAACCATTTACACATTCATTTGTTTTCAATATTGTGTAGTTCATATATGGAAATACTGTTAAATTCTACATCTCTAATCTGAAACATTTTCCTAACAATCAACTGGCTGCCTTTGAACTAATCTATCCTAAAAAGGGCACCATCTTAAAAAACATCATCCCCATATGCAGCAAAACATGTATGTTCCACCACTATTATTTTCTGATTTGTTAACATTCACAGTAATTTACAAGATAAAATCAAGTAATGTATTGGTGGTGAAAAGGTTTTATGAAGCAGAAAGTATATTTTTGTTGTTGCAAAGCTAGGAGTGCTGTTTATTAACACTTAAATTTCAAAGGTCAGTTTCAATAAAAAAAATCCCATCCAGCTTCAATGCAAAGATTTTTTTTCAAGGTTCCTATGACCTACACAAGGCACAGAAGTTAGAGAGAAATTTAATTGACTACAACCATTGCAAAGTTATTATCCAGTTACAAGAGATTTCTAATCAGTATATAAAAGTCTGTATAACAGATGAACAAATTCTGCTCAATTCTTAAGGCAATTTGTTTTCAGATGCCTAATTGCTCCATTTTTTTAAAAATAGTAATGTTTCAGAGCATGCTTAACATACTGAATAAGTGACCCTGTTATATATAAAAGTAACCAGTCACTGCTGGAAGCAGCTTTTGCATGCATGGGGAAAACTGTAGAGTTGTCATGCTTTAAATATGCTGCTCATATTAGAATTCTAAATGTATATATTATATATTAAAATCTATGAATACTAAAACGATTTTTTTTAAATCAGCAATCAGTTTTCCCTGAAAGATCTTAACTTTTAAATAGATGAGGACAAGTTTGTTAAATTGGCTGGTATAGGAAAAATATTAAACACATCATGGTTACTTTTATTTTTAAAACAAGTAAAAAATATTAGTTATTAATGGAGGGCCTGATCAGAAGGCTATGTAAATTGATAGATTCCCAGTGACTTCATCGGGCTTTGTATCAGGCCTGTAGGATACACAATGGTACTTCTAATTGGAAGAAAAAGCTTTACTGAAATGATCTAAATAAAAATTCATAAAACCACCGTGGCTTAAAAACTGAAATTCTAAGAGCCCCAAAAGACCTCTTCCATTTTCTTTACTCAAAAGACATCTAGGTAGAGACTTTTAATTCCCATTATTACAGTTTTGACTTTATTTGCATTAGAAACATCTCACCAATACAAGGGTGAAACAAACTATATAAATGTATACTTTTGGTAACTCAGGGGAAATTATTCTCTCATGAAGGCCCAACTGTAAAGGCAACAGAAAACCACATGTATTCTGGCAATGGTGAGAATTAGTTATTTCTATAATATATAGCTTAATCCTAATTTAAACATCAAAGTTTCAAGCCTGATTACTCAGAATAACTAATTATCAGTATAACAATTAAAACAAAACCCACACAGTAGACAGTTCTTATATTATTTAAACAAAACTAATGCTATGGCATTCCCAATCACAGATAATCATTTCAATGGCAGTCAGAGAGGTGGCTCAGAAAATGCTCTTGCTTTAAGACCCACAAGCAAACAGTGCATTAAGTCCACCACGGTGTTTACCAATCTGAATGTCAGACATTCGGTTTTACGTTCTTGGCCCAAGACTCAAATCTACCTACAAAGTTTGCTTATCTCAGAACTGACACTGCTCTTTTTATTTCAGCATGAAAGACATAGCCTGACCATATATATATACACACACACAAGAAAGTATCAATGTTTTATTTGTGTGCATATGTCACGCGCACACACAAAAGTGTATGTGTATACATAATTATATATATGCAAGCATACATACAAAATTGGTGCTTCCCCTAAATATGAATGTTGTATGTAATATAGCAATGTCATTAATAGAAGCTCTTGTGAGAAAATTAACTACCAAATGGGACATGAATATCAACTACTGAGCACATTCAGTATGTATAGCTAATTTTTAGGGTAGGCTTATTTACGACTTCTGCCAAAAAAAGGAGGAGGGTCAATATATAGACAAGTTTAAGCTGCAGAATTTAGGTATGAACAGACATTTAAGTATGTATTAATTATTATTATGTAGTCAAGTTCACTAAGATTCCTTAAGTCTTTAAACTTATATTTCCCTATATAAACATTTTGGCATGCAAGAGGAACATATAGATGAATACACTGATTGCTTCTACTATAACAAACATAGCTCTACCATTCCAAGGGTATGTAACAAGGATTCTAATTTACATCTTGCCAAACGTTGGTGACAGGAGGTTTTTGTTTTGAGTTTTGCATGTGTGTTTATGTGTGTGTTTTGCTTGCTTTGTTTTTTAAAAAACCACACAAGTTTTCTTTAAATAAAAGATTTACAGCATAATGTTAAAAACCCATCACGGAAAAAAAAATACTTGCATGGAGAAAAGCAAATTTTGTTCTTAACACAATCCAAGGTAATGTCAAGATTTTAAAGACTAAGTTTTTGATTGATTTAAATCATGCTCTGCAATATTCCCATTCTCTGGAAACACAGCTGGAAAATTGTTATTAAAAGTCGCTGGAAACTCTAATGTAGTGTCAACATTTTGATAGCTCACATAAGAATTAAAGGACTGCTGAGGAAGTACTTGGCTATCAGGCATCTGCGTGTATGCCCCTGACTGTGTGGTAGGGGGAATTCTTTGGCCAACTAGTTGCATTTTAGGTTCCCTGGGCTCCAGTTGTTGCTTGCTTTCTTCATCTGTGTCAAGACGAGTTAGCTTTTCTATCCACATGCGAAATTTCTCCTCTGTCTGCCTCTGCATCTCGGCAAAGCAGTTCATGGCCTCTTCCAGGACATTGCCTATGCAGTTCCTATCCCACACGGTGCCCCTGTCAAGCAATCCTGGAATTTCCCTGGTCGCTCCTCCAGATCCCCCAGCACGACTGTAGCCAGCTTTAAAGACATTGAGGCCATTTGATAAGACAACGTTAAGTAAGAACATTATAGTGTTTATTAAGGCATGCTAACTCAGGAAAACAGTATAAACTTTTCTAACTATGGCCAGATGGATACAATATTGGGAGACCAATCTGTAGCCTCCAAATTAACCAGAAGCATTTACTTCAAAGTAAAAACCCACCAGGCACCACAGAGTTATTACTTCAAGTTCTTGGCTCTAAAAATATTTCATTCTAGATTTTTCTGGTAACTATTCCGTCACAATGTGCTTGTAGGTTTTGGAAACCAAATTTAGTCCAATCCCCATAGAAACTTTAGATGCTTTCACTGTTGATTCAAAATCAAAACATCGTACAATATTTAATGATATAATGAATACCTCCATTAAACTGCAATATAAAAATATCATAGATTTTAATGGATAAACTCAATAATTATACACATATTACTTAAATGGTTAGTGCCCTCCCTCCCCACCAAGGGATGGGTAAACACACACACAACTGTACACGTAACAGAGATAGAGATTGATACTAAAATTGTACTATTTCAAGTAGCAAATCCCAAATTTTAGCCCTGTCAGTCTTTACTTCTAAAACACTGGACACTAAAGGAAGAATAAAATGTCACAAACAAAACCCTGATCTTGCACGTAGTACGTAAGTAACACCGTGCTGCTATATGGGGGAAGGAGGAGTAAAACAGCTTCTGTTTCTGACGGCAGGAAAGACTAACCACACCACAGGGGTAATCCATGCAAAGCCCAAGCCTGCTCAAATTGATATCAATGGCAAAACTCCCATTGACTCAAACGTGAGCAAGACCTGATCCTTATCTCCACAGTATCAGAAAAATGGCATTTTGTTTCTAGGAGACCCTCTTTCCTGGGTCCAGTGAGAAGGAAACTGCTTGCTCTCCTTTCTCAGTGAGGTGCTAAAATGACTGTCATTGGAAGGATCAGAAACAAACTAAGCCGGGGTGGGGAAACTTTTTGGCCTGAGGGACACATCTGGGTTTGGAAATTGTATGGTGAGCCATGAATGCTCATGAAATTGGGGTTGGGATGCAGGAGGGGGTGATGGCTCTGTCTGGGGCTGTGGGCTCCAGAAATGAGAAGTTCAGGGTGCAGGTGGGGGCTCTGGACTGGGGCAGAAGGTTGGGGCCCGGGAGGGGGTCGGGGTGCAGGCGGCACTTACCTCAAGCAGCTCCCGGAAGCAGCGGCATGTCCTTCCTCCAGCTCCAACGCAGAGGAGCGGCCAATCAGTTCTGTGTACTGCCCCATCTGCAGGTGCCGCACCTGCAGCTCCCATTGGCCGCAGTTCCCAGCCAATGGGAGCTGCGGGTGCGGCGCTTGGGGTGGTGGCAGCATGCGGAGCCCCCTGGCTGCTCCTGCATGTAGGAGCCAGAGAGGGGGGACATGCCGCTGCTTCTGGGAGCTGCGCGGAGTGCCTCCCGATCCCGCTCCCCGGCTGGCGTGCAGCAAGCCCCAATCCTGCTCCCCAGCAGGAGCTTGAGGGCCGGATAAAATTGGCTGGTGGGCCGGATGTGGCCTGCAGGCTGTAGTTTGCCCACCCCTGATCTAAACAGAGGCGCTCATCCTAGCTTATTTTAGCTTCTAAACAAAAAAGAAAGGCAGTGGTAACCTATGCTTTGGTGCTCAAACTCCTCAAAAATGCCAACTCAAAAAAAGATAGTAACATGAGGATCTGAACCTGTATGATTGAAAGTCAACAGCGTGTACCTAGAACAGTTATGTTGTTCTAATACATAAAGGGTTACTTTATTTAGATGTTTTCACAACTAGACAAGGATCACATTAAACTATTAAAAACAGGTAATTAACCGATGGAGTTTACATTTAAATTAGTATTTACTAATAAATTATATATAAATAAATAAATTTAATTAAGTGGCTTTTTTCATGCAGCTAAATTTCTGGAAGAGTCTGTTTGGCTGTTTACAATTTTCTTTACAAACCTAATGACTTGCTATAGGATATGGGTGTCTTAGTAAACAAACATTATTGTTTACAATATCCATAGGCTATCATATCTTAAGAACAACAGAAAATACCTTAAAATGCAGAGAAATCACTGGACGACCTAGACCAAGAATTTACTGATAATGAGATATGGTAGTAACACATTATTGGGGATTTATCTCTTATAGGAAATTACAGTGTCATTTAAACAATACATTCCTTTTGAGGAGCCATTTAAATTAGACACGTAGAAGAAACCTTAAATTTTGGATAATTACCAATATTTAAGATTATTCTGTTCTTATTTTCTCTATAGTTAAGGGTCACATGACATTTCCACTATGAGCCCCGGTTTTAAGGGCTTATCACTTATCTGTTTTCATACTAAACAGGCTAAAACTCAACATTCAAGTTCTCTATTCAATAGCAAACTGTTTGAGCCCTGGTCTACACTAGGACTTTAGGTCGAATTTAGCAGCATTAAATCGATGTAAACCTGCACCCGTCCACACGATGAAGCCCTTTATTTCGACTTAAAGGGCTCTTAAAATCGATTTCTTTACTCCACCCCGACAAGTGGATTAGCACTTAAATCGGCCTTGCCGGGTCGAATTTGGGGTACTGTGGACACAATTCGACGGTAGTGGCCTCCGGGAGCTATCCCAGAGTGCTCCATTGTGACTGTTCTGGACTGCACTCTCAACTCAGATGCACGATTGTTCACCGTTGCTCTGACGCAGGGAGGGGCGACTGACGACACGGCTTACAGGGTTGGCTTACAGGGAGCTAAAATCAGCAGCGCAGGTGGCTTTACATCAAGGAGTATTTCAGGCAGGGCTTCACGGAGGGTTCCAATAAGAAATGGTGCACCTACGTTATTGTTCTTATTGGAACAAGGAGGTTAGTCTGGCCTCTGATTGATACATGGCTAGATTTACCTCGCTGCACTTCTCTGTGAGTGACTGCAGTGTGACCTAGAGGAATGAGTCCCCTAGACGGGGGGGCGGGTGGGGGTTTGCAAATGAGTACAAAACAAATCTGGTCTATTTCTTGTTTTGATCCACTCCATCTATCTTTTACATCTTTGGCTGGCAGCAGACGGTGCAGAAGGACTGCATGCCATCCACATCTCATGGCTGCTCAGCAGAAGATGGTACAATAGGACTGCTAGCCATCCTCATCTCTTGCCTGCCCAGCAAAGATGATGCAATAGGACTGCTAGCAATCCGTATCACCTGCCTGCTCACCATAAGATGGTTCAATAGGACTGACTGCAGGACTAAAGAGAATGACCTGCTCAAGTCACTCCACATTTAGTCCCTGCACCCATGTCTGCCCAGGCGCTCCTGATCTACCTCACAGAGGCGACCAGGAGCACCTCAGACATGACGATGACTGCTACCAGTCCTATTGCACCGTCTGCTGCCACAAGACAATGGGTTGCTGCTGCTGTGTAGTAATGCAGTACCGCGTCTGCCAGCACCCAGGAGACATACAGTGACAGTGAGCTGAGCGGGCTCCATGCTTGCCGTGGTATGGTGTCTGCACAGGTAACTCAGGAAGAAAGGTGCGAAACGATTGTCTGCCCTTGCTTTCACGGAGGGAAGGAGGGAACGGGGGCCTGACGATATGTACCCAGAACCACCCGCAACAATGTTTTAGCCCCATCAGGCATTGGGATCTCAACCCAGAATTCCAAGGGGCAGAGGAGACTGCAGGAACTGTGGGATAGCTACCCACAGTGCAATGCTCCGGAAGTCAACTCTAGCCTCAGTACTGTGGAAGCACTCCGCCGAGTTAATGCACTTAATGCACTTAGAGCATTTTCTGTGGGGACACACACGCTCGAATATATAAAACCGATTTCTAAAAAACGACTTCTATAAATTCGACCTAATTTCGTAGTGTAGACATACCCTGATAATATTTGGTCTCAATTGAGTTGGCTGCATTTTATTTAAAACAAGGTTGTGATTAGAAAGTATAATTACAAATGGCATCTTCTTGCTCGAACAGATGAGACCCTGAATATACACACAGGAAGCAAATCTATTTACTGACAAAACTTACATTTTCTTCTTTTTACTCCTAAGTATTACTGCAGGCCAATACAATAAGAGTAAGCTGAACTCTATTTATGCTTGCTCATCAAGGGCTTGATCCAAAGTTCAGTTAAACCAATGGGAGACTTCAAAGGGTTTTGGATCAGATCCCAACAACTTGTTAACTAAGTTCTAATCGCACAATCCTTTTTTATCACTGGTGATGATGGGTAAGAAATAATCCAGATTGATGTTCAAAACTCTGGATGAGTTTGCAGGGCTAGAAGCTAGAAAAAAAATGCTTCTTTAACAGGTCTGCTGAAGGAATTTGATATGATAGCTGTTGAGTCACAAATATGTAATCCTACATCATTTTTAAAGAGGCACTATTCAGGGTATAATTACACTTTAACTTAACAGTAGCAGCAAATATATTAAACAGTTTGAGATACTTCTTTTGCACTTCTAAGTAAAAGATGTTGTATGATTTTGTACATGAAATTTTACAGGAGGCTTAATTGCAACATGCCTCAGTCAATCTTTCAATTTTATCGGCAGCTTTGCGTGCCATAAAGTCTGGTTTCAAGGTGCTTTTTGCATGATATTAAAACAATAACATTTATCTAATAGATCTCTCAGCAGTCTGTAAACTGAAAACTTTATAGCTTTTGAATTTGGCTAGGATACCAAACAACCTTGGAATCTTCAGTGACCATAAAGGGATCAGTATATACACACTATGCCTCGTCTGAAACATAGCAGTCCCAGCAGAATAACATCCCTCAGCAGTGGGGCAGTGGTTTCAACACTGATTTAAGAGATTAGAGCACCAGCTACTGAAATCACCAACACTGTCTATGTACAACAAATTCTTCTTATTAGCAATCCTTCGGTTGCCAGCAAAGAGTTGCTGTTACCCATCAGTTGCTGATAAGCAGAAGGCAGCAGCTAAGGAAGTTCTGTGGGGGAAGCAGCCTGGATGCCAGGGCTTTCCATAAGGAGCAGGAGTGCTGGGACCCATGGAGCTCTACAGTATCTCTCCCTGAGCTTCCTTCCCTGTGTGGGATCCCTGGTATGGCACAGTCTGGAGAGCACATGAGGAAGTACCACAGCTCCAGCATACAGGCTGCAGCCCCTCTTCCTGCTACTGCTCAGCCCACAGCTCCATACCTCCCGTGTGAAGGCAAGTTTGAGAGGCTGAAGCTCCAGAAGGAAGGGCTAGGATGTGCTGTATTTTTGCAGGGCTGTAACCAGAGAAGGCAAGTCCCAGTACTTCCTTTCCAGCCTCACAAACGTGCCTGCAGGGGGTACTCTGCACATATCCAAACTGACAATGGGATAGGACTGGTTCCTGGCAATATGTTGCTATTAACCAGAAGTTGCTAATATCAGGATTGCTATTAAGTGGAATCTACTGTGTGCATTCTTTAGGTCTCCCACCCTAGCAACAACTAGGATCAATGTTGTTTAATTTATGAGATCTGGCAAGATCAGTTTAAGATGGTATGCTGCATCTTGTCCCCAGCTATTAATAGTGGGTCTCTCACTTGTTGATACACTAGCCCAGTACTTTTAAGAAAAACTGTATACCTTACAGCTAAATCCTTCCAAACAGATTTTTAAATGTATCTGCTCTTGAATAATCATCCTCAGTTATTCTCTTCAGTTAAAATTCATTCCTTGGCAGAGGGCCAACAAAAGACCTAGGCACGAAGCTTAGGTGAAATTGAAATGGTTCATGGTTCAAATGCTTTGTGCTGGCCCTCTACACCATGTGTTAGAAAGGCCTACATATTAAAAATCCTTATTAATATACAGGTAATTTGCCATTTCACAAATGTAACTTTTCCAACTTTAATATTTCAGCTTTTAACAATATTCCCCCATATATTAGCCTAAAACACGGATTAATGCCCTTTTTAACATTCAAAACTGTTTTTGACTTATAGGATAGCACAATGGTGTGCAGAATAACAATATTATGTTTTTATATTATATTTTATACTTTAAGAAGTGTCAAATTGTTTTAAGCCAAATATTGATTCCTAGGATCATTTTGCATGCCAAGTTTTCTTCATCCAAAGGCAGTCTGTAGAGTGAAATCAGAAATCAACAAAGAACAAAACCCTAAACAATAACAGAAGTGCTCGTAGAAGCTGCTGTACCATATTTTATCAGTGCCCAAAGTGAATGCCATCGTATATCCAAGGATTGCTTAGGAATCTTGTATGCCAATATTGCTGCTCAATCTTTAAAATACAATAGAGGCATCTTAATTTGCATCAATTAGCAAGCCATTGTGGTTTACTGGACTGGATGGAGCCCAATTCAGTGCCCATTGAGATAAATGAAAAGGTTCTCACTAACTTCAACGGGTGTGGGACAGTGCCTATAGCACGTAAAGGAACAAAATAAAATATTCAGGAATACTGCCTCACAGAATGTACTTTTGTCATGTATGCCACTAATCTAGTTATAATTGTAATGAAGTATTAGTAATGAAACCTCATCATAACATTTTGCTATTCAACCTTTGCTGAGATGTGAAATAAGACTGCTAATATTTTAATGAAAATTATCAGGTTTGCAGATTAGCACTGAGAATTGAAATTCTATTGCAAAATAGTCTGGTTCAGAAATCGTGTGTTTGAGTGAAAGCAGAAAAGTTAGTAAGATTGTTTATGTTTACGGCATCATTATGCATTTATTGGGACATTTGTCTTCTTAATAATCATCCCAAACTCATTGCAAAAGCAATCATATTGTGGGGTTCAAAAATTATTTATCTGCACTCTTAAAATGGAAGATGTCCAGTGAAATCCTTTAGCATTAAAGACCCAATTGTATCCTACCAAGTACATCACTTTAATTTTCAAACTACCCACAGGTTTAAAACAAACTTTTTTTTTCCATTTAACTAAAATAATTTTACACGTTTGACAGCATGAATATTTTATTCTTTTTTACAGCATCTCTTCATATCTGTGCTAAAAACACACCTATAGCAAAGTTATAATCTTGGAGCATCTTTGCTGGCGTAGCTATTTTTCATGCTTATGCTTGACATGTCTGCAAAACAGCATCTATGGTAAGCTGCTGAACCAATCTTGAAACTAACTCATTAGTGCAAGAGCATCCAAGCTTTATGACACTGAGGGTTACATTGGCTTCTTGTTAGTGTCATAAGTCATTTGCATAAAGAGGTACAGAATTTTTCAAAATAAGTGAACACATTTGCTCGTTCTTATATATCCCTTGATAGATGCAGAGAAGTTCAGGAGCAATTAAGCCTGCAGTTTATCACCCTTTTATCACCAATAAGGGTAAATATGGCTGAACTTGGCCTTCAGGCTGCACTTTGGGCCACCCTGTACTAGTGTCTGAGTGGTCTTTCATTTAAGTCTTTTGAGGGTCCTATTCACAACACAATGTCAACTTGGTTTCAGAGTAGCAGCCGTGTTAGTCTGTATCCGCAAAAAGAAAAAGGAGGACTTGTGGCACCTCAGAGACTAACAAATTTATTTTAGTCTCAAATTTAAATTTGTTAGTCTCTAAGGTGCCACAAGTCCGCCTTTTCTTTTTAATGTCAACTCGCTATGCTTTCTCAATGCTCTCTATTAAGTCAAATAATTATGACTTTAACACAACCAGTTCACCCAATTCAAAGAAGGATCAAGCAGAATTAAATATTTATTTTAAGTAAAAGTAGCCAGGCCAGATCATTAGCGATCCATCTACAATGGGAGAGCTAGAAACTCAGGTCAGATTCAAGGCTCAAGTACACCTATTAAATCTATTAATTTTCACTAGCCTACACAGAGCAATAGGATGCGTTCTGGATCATTTCTCTCACAACCCTTCTCATTTAAAGGGTAACTGAAATGTGAAAGAATTAGCAAGGATTCATTAAAAAGACGAAGTATGTCTTAAACATCACTTAAAAAAAAAAAAAGAACAGTCAAAGAGAAACCCACTGTTTAGAGTCCATCAGAACACCTGGGGTATGAAAGAAGATATGCAGGTCAGTGCTGTCCCCAAGTGTTTTGTGTGCTCACTCCTTGTGTCACATGTAAAATTAGGCCTTGATGCAATGTCCACTGAAGTCAATGAGAGTCTTTCCATCGATTTCAGTGGGCACCGGATCAGGCCCTTCGAATGCAAGCTCTCCAGGGCCAGGACTGAGGGCCAGATTTACAAAGGTATGTAGGCACCTAAAGATGCAGCCAAGTGTCTAGTGAGGTTTTCAAAAATTCCTAGGCACCTGACTTCCATTGCAATCAATGAGAGCTAGGTGTGTAGGTGCTTCTGAAAACCCCACTACGGCTTATCTGCAACTTTCGGGAGCTAAATACCTTTGAAAAACTGGCCTGGTCTATTTATTTGTTCTGAAGGACCTGATCCAAAGCCCACTGAAGTCAATGGGAGCCTTCAATGGGCTTTGAATCAGGCCCCAAGTGCTGAGGGCACTCTAAAAATAATAAATAATGAGACAAGTGACTGTCAAAGTTATCAGTCACACTGTACTATTTTAACTGGTAAATATAGCTACTGAACCACTATTAAATAAACCTCTTTTTTTAAAAAAACAAAAAGAACAGAACTAACCACATAATTATGGAAGTCTGTACCTTTCCCATACCTTCCAATGATAAACTGCATTTCCTGTGTTCAATCTACATCCTAGCAAAGAGATGCAGCCTTACAGAGTATAAGCAAAATAGCAGTTTTCAAACAGACAGACCAGCACCATTCACCATTATTAAAATAAGCTGAAACAGTTACAGCTATTTGTAAAATCGTAGGTAAATTCATCTTTTTTATATATTCATTCATTTTAGCTGTCAAAGTTATTAAGACTGCCATTTTCCTTTAAATCTTCCTTTAAACTACAGAAATATGCTGTTATTTAGCATACAGTTTATCCCCCAAACATCCTCTTTAGTTAGCAGAAAGGGGGAAAAGGCAGATCCACCCAGGAAAGACTGGCAAACCAAAAACTTTATTTTAAATTTTATTTTATTTTTTAACGTTGCTATACGATGAAGGTTTTGAGGTATAGTATATTGGAAAAATAGTTCACACATAATCCTGACCATGGTATTTGCACCAATTAAATAATGAAGTCTAACCGATGAGAAACTTTAAGAAGTTATCTTTCTTCTGCTATAAAAATCATGAGAATGCCCCAATAATTTGCTGCACCCAGCTTGTCAACATGGATGTAACAGAGAATTCAGAAATATAAAAATTATAGATTCATGTAACAGAGAAGGATGGAATTGGCTTACTCCTAAAATTTTGAAACACCAGGAGTGGGGACAATTTGGGGCACGTACAAATAATTTTATTTATGCCCTAAAGTAAGTGGCCAGCTGCAATTTGCATGAATGTAACGAACAAAAAGGTTAAGTAAACTACTTATTTGAAATGTAAAGCTGGAAAGCACAGCATAAGTGCAACACTGGAGAATGAGGCCTTATGGTAAAATGGGCAATAGATATGCCATATTTTTTCCAAACACAGATGCAGAGGTGCTATTGTAATATATTAAAGTGCGGATGCCCACTTATAATAATGTATTGGCTAAATATGCTGTTATGATTATTACCATCTAACCAGCAGTGATAAGAGTTCATATAGGTTTACAAAGAAAAATCTGAAAATTCCAAGATAGTCCCTTCTACAATTTACCTGTACAATTTGCTGTTGTGCAAAAGCAAACTGAAAACCTCAGAACAGAGTTTAAAATTTGCCATGTCTTGTTAATACACTGCAGTCTTCAAATTTACACAGAGCTGCAGTTCTCCTGGTTTTTCTCAAGTGTCACTCATCTAATTTAGCATGACAGCTGAGAAACGATGTCAGGCGCTTTACAGTTCAGTTTAAAAAACATCCTCTACCTGGTATCTCTGCCGTGATTGTCTTGCTGCTCCCTGAAACCTCTTCATCATCTTCTGATGAACTCGTGCTTGAGTCACAGGTCAGGTCACTATCACTGGTACTGCTGTCCTGCAGCAGATTGTATTTCTTGCGAGCAGCTGCCTCCCGTTTTTGTCTTAATAACCGGATTCTTTCTTTGTGCTTTTGGCTCCGATGACCTTTTACCTTGGTGACTCGTCCATTCTGCTTATCACTAGACTGTCGATTTTTCTTGGCAGCCATAGTTGATGTTTCACTTTCAGACCTGGACCGTCTGGATTTTCTCCCAGCTGCAGCCCCAGAAACTCCAGAAGGGTCTCCCTCTACAGGAGCTTCAGCCTGACAGGGCTCATTCTCTTCTGCGGAAGACAGCGTATCTGAATCAGCCAAATGCCCACTGGAAGAAGGGGAAAGCATGCAGTGATTAGAAGAGTCACTCTCATAAATTTGGCCTGCTGTTGGCTTATCACTCTCTGTTGATGCTAACTGAGACTCCGAGGAGTCCCGTCTCAGTTCCATCAGTAAGCACGGCATTGAGGAGAGCACCATAGAATCTGCTACAATGGGCACACCATCTTTCTGAGCACACGTATCTAGTTCTATAGGTCCATCTTCACCAGGAGCTGTCTCTTGTTTTTCAGAGAGTTTTGGTGAGACTTCTGAGTCAATGCGTTCTTCTACTTTTCCCACTGCCTCCATCTTCATTTCAGAATTCCAAGCTCCTCCTTGTCTCAAAGCATGGAGTCTAGAGGACTGGGGGAACTAGATTAGGTTTTCAACAGCAAAGCAACCTGCATAAGAACAGAACAGTAATGACAATTTACTCAAATAGCAGAATCACTTCTACTTTTTTGGTCATGTCCACAATTTCACACAGTGAGACCACTTATTTATTTAGTTAAAGCTAGTAAGGTACATTACAACTTTGGCTGTGGTACTTTTCTTTAGCTTCTGCCTTTTCCTGGTTAACTCAGTCTGTTACACTGACATGCTTAATGCTTTCCCTCTTAATGAAAGATGGCACTATCATTGTACAAAATACACTTCAAACTGCGCTAGTTATCACAACAGATCAGAAATAAAAACAACTGCAGTTTCTAAACTCTTACTTTGGAAGGTTTAAATTAATACAATATAAGCAGATTTTGAACTTTTATCTAGAAGTAATTTTTAATACACTTTAAAGGAAACTTCAGTATTGGTAAAAAGTGACATACTGAAACCCCAAAATCCTGAAGTCCTCTACCTGGGGAGGACACCTTTACGGGTGACAACATTGTTCAGTTTCCATGCCAGTGGGAACCCAATGAGTGTTAGCAGTCCACTTCCAGTAGCACTAAATCTGCTGAGGCACTGGTTTAGTACCAGCCCATAGAGAAGTGGCACTGATGGTTCATTTACAGTGAAGTACTAACAATACTTCATACAACATTTAGGTGCTCCTTGAAGGTCTCGGATATGAGTATTGACCCATCCTGACCTGGTTTTGCTGATAAGATCTGTCAAGGGAACAGCATAAGATGGTACAGCTTCTGACAAGAAACACTTTCTATCCACACACAGTTTCAATCGCATCTTTTACTTCAAGTTATAGTTTGATCAGCACTGTTCCATCTTAAACGTTAAAATCAAGCTGTCTAGAAAGCTGCTAACTTGTAGGTCCCCAACCTTTGTAGTGTCTGAGCACCTCCGAAGTATTATAAATAAAAATAGCATTAATTCTTCCACCTTTATCATAGATCTTCTTCCATCCACACTTTAATTTTGACTTCAACATACCGTAAAACCACACAAAAATCTTTCAATTATCATTCCCACTTATATGTAAGTTAAAGGGGACAATTTGTTTAGGCCTAAAAATTGGTATGTGCTAAACAAAGTAATTTAATAGTTACTACTGTCAACATTCATTATATTGAAAAATATGCAGTGCTATGTTCTAATTTGTGGGAGGGCTTTTTAAAGGCTCTATTTCTGTAGGATCTAGAAAAAGACAATGAGTACTTGTATAACATAAGAATAGCCATACTGGGTCAGACCAAACGTCCAGCTAGCCCAGTATCCTGTCTTCCTACAGAGGCCAATGCCACGTGCCCCAGAGGGAATGAACAGAACAGGTAATCATCAAGCAATCCATCCATCACCCATTCCCAGCTTCTGGTAAACAGAGGCTAGGGACACCATCCTTGTCCATCCCCATAGGAAGGATGGTCTAATGGGGAAGGTGCTAATCTAGACTCAGGAGATCCAGGTTCAATTCCCTGCTCCATTACAGACTTCCTATGAGACGTTGGGTACTTCTGTTACTCAGTTTCTCTCTGTAAAATGGGAATAATAGTATTCCTTACCCCAGAGGGTGCTGGGAAAAGGTCTAGATTCTGTTACCAATCCCTTGAATAATCCTAAATCTTGAGATTTTTTTTTTAAATATATTTCACTCCTCCCTAAGTGTCATGAGTGTCAGGCACTACAGTTATGGGGGGTCATAAATGTACTTCCGTCAGACCAGTGAAGGAAGGAAAGTTTAAATTAACAAAACTTTCACAGCGTTGTGCTGACATTTATTAATTGTACTTCAACAAGTAATTGTACTTCAACAAGGAAATAAACTTGCCATATTAGTGTTGGGCACCATGAAAAACACAAGTATTACAAATCAAGGTTTGCTAAATGAGAAAGTGGAAACTGCTAAGCGGGAATCACAATTACAAATGCTAAAGAAGCAAGTATGGTGATGTATATAGAGAAAGAGCATCTGACAGTACTTCAAATGAGCAAAGCTAGTTTGAAACAAAATAGGAGAAGGTCCGTCTGAAGCTGTTAATTTCTAAAGAGAATTCTTATAGACAATATATAACTGCATAAGACCCACTTTCTCTGCCTCTTTTCAAATGTTACAACAGACTACAGTAAGCTGTAGCTCACAAAAGCTTATGCTCAAATAAATTGGTTAGTCTCTAAGGTGCCACAAGTACTCCTTTTCTTTTTAGTAACTCCTCACTTAACTTTGTAGTTATGTTTCTGAAAAATGCGACTAAGTGAAACAATGTTAAGCGAATCCAATTTTTCCTTAAGATTGAATGTAAATAGGGGGGGGTTAATTTCCAGGGAAATTTTTTGCCATACAGTACAGTACTATAGTTGGGAGGTGCCCCCGCCTTACCCCACACAGGCACAGCCCACTTGCACTGGAGACAATGAGACAAGCAAGGAGGCTGAAGGTGCAGTAGGCTAGGAGAAGCACACTGCGCAGCAGCAGCGGCAGCTTCCCCTACTTTGCAAGCACCAGGGGTGGGGGGCTCAACCCTCGGCCCGCGCACTCCACCCCTTCTCCCAAGCCCCCACCTTTAACCCGCCTCTTCTCCCCCCCCCTTTACTCTGCACACCGCATCCTCGCTCCTCCCCCCTCCCTCCCCCGCCTCCTGCCCAAAGCAATCAGCTGGCTTGTGGTGTGTTCAGGAGGGAGGAGCGAGGACACGGCGTGCAGGCTCCCCCTCCCTCCCCTGCCTCCTGAACACCGCAAGCCAGCTGATTGCCATGGGCAGGAGGCAGGGGAGGAAGGGGGGAAGCGCACCGAGTCCTCGCTCCTCCCCCCGAACGCCGCAAGCCAGCTGATTGCCGCACGCAGGAAGCGGGGGGAGGAAGGAGAAGGCGCTGATCTGTGGGGTCTGCCGGCGGGTGGGAGGCGCTGTGGGGGGTGGTGTAGGGGAGCTGGTGGAGGGCTGCCAGCTGTGGACAAAGCAGGCAGCCAAACAACGTTATAGCGAAGCATTGCACAACTTTAAATCGAGCATATTCTGTAACTGAGAAGGGACGTAAGATCGAAACAACGTTAAGCGAGAGGACGTTAAGCGGGGTGTTACTGTACATCAAAAAAGAAAAAAAAACTTATAACTAGGAAAGCGAATATACTGAGATGTAAAAGCATCCTAAAACTAGAATACTTTCATGTACTTCACTGGCAAATCTCATTATTATTAATATACCAGTTATACAGATGGAAAAACAGAGGCACAGAGAGTTTAAGTGACTTGTCCTAGGTCAAAAATAGTATTATACCAGGGAATGGATCCTAAGGCTTTGTCTACATTAGATTTTTTTTTGTCTGTAATTCGCTATGGATGCAGTTCTCTGTTGGTCACACTGGTTAAAGCAGTAGAGTAGACAAGACTCATGTGGGCTCAGGTATTTTTAACCTTGAGTCCATCCAAGCTTTGTCTACATTAGTTTTCTCCAGTGCTATAACTAGAGAAGTTATACCATATGGGAATTAAGGGCCCAAGAAAATTTTGTGGAGATCAAGTCCATGGTTTCCTTTCCTTCTGAGCTAGGGAGTCAGAAGGGAAGCAGTATATGCCTGGGCCAGGGGAAGCTCTGGGAACTTGAGATTTACATAGGATACAGAAGTCAACAGGGCAAATGGTTCATGATGTTCAGCAGTCATGCTTCATCTCCGTTGATACAGAGGCCTGCTGCTTCTCCACTATTTACCTGCACACAAGGTAATACACTGTAAATCCCAAAGCTTGATCTTGTAATCGTGTTTATGGAAATTTTGGATTTCATGATACTCTTTCTTGAGCACCATAACTTTCCCTGTTTTCCTCTCACTGGGATCAAAGAAATGTTATGTCCCTGGGGAAGATCTCAGGCAGAGGTGTGAAAATTCAGCTGCCTGATCTTTGCAGATGTATGTGTATATTCTTCCACGTCTGCCCCTGAACTGAAGAACATGAAGATTTTGCTACCACCGTATCACCGCTAGACCCCAGAAATCACACCACTACATGCCCCTTGCAGATTGATGATTTTAAAGATTCCATTCTGAAATCAACATCTGCACAATGCTGCTTCACAGAAAAAAAAAAATTCTCCAGCTAGAAGCATGAGGACTGGTGCCTTAGAGCATGTCTTCACATACAGTACTGCAGCTGTGCCACTGTAGCGCTTAAGTGAAGATGCTCCTACAATGACAGGAGAGATTCTCCCGTCAGCGTAGTTAATCTACATCCCTGAGAGGAGGTAGCTATGTCAATGGGAGAAGCTAAGGAAAAACAAATCTTAAGAAATATTATTTTAGTTCTACTTGAGAAATATAAAGAGGAAAGAAAAGCAAAAAGATGATGCTGAAATACTCCCACCCTTTCCTGGAAACATGCTACATAAGTTCTCAAGGTAACCTTAAGAGAAAGCCAAGCAGGCAACTTAAATCAGAAAACCACTGCACTGAAAACTAGTTTGTAAAACTTCACAGGCTCAAATGGATATTTAATTACACAATGTCCAAGAATTCCATTCAGCCAAAACAAAAATTTTGTCCTTTTTCTTAGTGAACAAATGTTTGTCTGAAGATTAAGAAAACAGTTCTTTAAAACAGCACTGTCAGATACTCCTAAATATCTAACATGATCTTTATGAAGAAAGTATTTTCACAGCAATCAACTCATAGGCTCATTTTGACTTCTATTTAAGCAATAAAAACTTATGCAATATTAATTTACACACTGTCAAATAGTGCACCTTTATTTGAATTAAAGTGCATCTTGTGAACAATTTAGGCATTGGTCCAGAAGGACTGCAAAACTCAAGGGTTCTGCCTCAATGCATTAACTGCAGGCATAGTAATACTAAGCATTTCTTTCTAACCTTTAATCAGGTTCTCTTAAAGAACTTCAGAAATCCAATTACACCGCACAAGATCTCCGTAATACATGTATTACTGTTTCCATTTTACATATGGGTAAACTGAGGCACAAAAAGTTGTCCAAACACCACACCAAGACAGTGACAG